AAATTGGATCGAATCTAATTGAAACTACATTGAATCGGGTTAAGTCATGGGTGAGAATCCCTCTCTCAAGCAGACGTGAGATAGAAATGAAATGAGTTTAAAATTTAAAAGTTTAATTATTTAATATAATTTAATAAAACAATATTTTTATAATGTAATAAATATATAATTAATCTATTAATAACAACAATTTAAAATAATAATAATAATAATTATTATTATTATTATTAAGATGAACATAAAAATTATAAATACATTACATATCGAATAATAATTAAATAAGATGAAAATAATTATTATTTTAAGTTGATATAATTAATATAAAAAATATATAAAAAGTTAAATTAAAAAATATTATATTTTTATAAAAAATTATATTTAAAAATTAAAAACTTTTATATTAAATTTTTTATCATCATGGATCAAAAACTTACATTTTTTCAATGTTATTAATTTAATTAAAATTTGATTATTTAAAATTAACTAATCAATTTTTAAGTTAAATTAGTTGAACCAGCTCTTCCAATCTAAATTTTAAAACTACGAGTATAAGTGGTTTATTTTTGTTCAAGTATTTATTTGTTCCCTTTTTTTTTTTCGGTTTGAGATTCCAGGATTATGTAATGATTTAATTGGTTTTAGTATTTTTCATTTGCATTATTTAGATTATAAGTCATTCATTAGTTTTGTTGCTTGTTGTGATTCAGATTTTTCTTATTGTGTGAAAGACTGAAGATTATATCTATGTTTATTATTAAACATTACAAGTGTGATTTTTAAGGACTATATTAATATTTGCAGAGGATTAATCTAAATTATAAGGATTGATTTTTGAAGTTTAGAAGTGAAAGTTTTAAAAATAATTAAGAGAGAAAACATACATAAAATCATTATTTGTGTTATTAATGGTAGTACTACAATTTATATATTTTTATTTCTTTTAAATTTAATATTTATAATTTAGTAAAAATATAAAAAAAATGATGAATTTTATATATAAATTTTTTTCAAAATTTTAACATAGATAATTTTTAAAAAATATTTTAACTAAATAAAATTTAATATGTTGTAGTTGAGATTATTTTGTACATAATATTTTTGAAAATAGAAAAGATTCGACCCAGTTTATATAATTTTTTGTTTGAAAAAATAACCAACAACTATAAAAATTATTAAAAATAATGTTTAAAAAAAATACAAGTTCAATAATAATTACATTGAAACTACCTATCAGCGAACGTTTATACCAAAGAAGTCCCATTCATCTGAAAATTTAAATGATCAATTTTGCAATATTTTTTTTCATTGATTTAAGTGGGATTAATTCTTTTAATTATGAGCACAACTGCCATGTCTAACTTCTAATTATAGAATTGCTAGATTTTAATACGCTATGAGAAAATAATTTTATGATTTCTCATCCTGCAATATAATTAATTTTAATAAATTAATAAATTTATTCACCGATGAAACATAAAGATGACAACGGGGTCGGGGCGGGTTTTGCCTCTCCGATCTCCGCCCCGACTTTTTAAATCATCCCCGTTCCCACCTCCGATCCCTGCTGGAATTAGAAATTAAGTCCCTATCTCCATCTCCGTTGGGTTTCGGGTTCTCGTCCACGTCCCGTTCCCGATCTATATTATTTTTAAAAAGAAATTATATTTATAATAAATTAATTTTACTATCTATTTTTTATATATAACGAAATATTTATAATTTATAATTATTATTAATTAAATATACATTTTAATTTATTATATTTATATTAAAATATATATATGTAAAAGAAATATTTAATCATTTTTTATGTATATTATTATTATTATTATTATTATTATTATTATTATAACACTCGTATTGAAATATTTGGATACTTATAACATTATTATTATAATACTGTATTCAAACATTTGATTATATATATAAGTTAATTCATTTTTAAGTTGTCATTTAAAAATATGAAATATATAGTTTATAAGGAAATATTTAATAAGTTAATTCTTATTCAATTAGTTCAAAGTAATAAAAGTTTAAATTATCAATTCCTTTAATCCTTTAAACTACAATTATTTTATTAAGATAAAATTTGATATATGATAAATAAGAATAATAAAATAAAAAATATGACATAATAAAACCTAATAAATATAAATTATAAATAAAATAATATTAGTTACTACTAAGATTTATATAAAATATTTAGAAAAAACAAAGAATAAAAAAATTAACTTTTTATTCATCAAATTGGTTGAAAATATTGAAAAAAAAATAAATTGATAGAAGAGATTAAGGAAATATGAAAAACTGAAAAGTAAGAGAGAATAATATAATAAATTAATTAATATAAAAACTTAAAAAAGATAAAAAAAATTAAAAAGTGGGTAGAAGAAAAATAAAAATTGGTGAAATATAAAAAAATGACCTTAGATGTAATAGAAAAGAAATACTTTTAAAATATTAATATTTTAACAAATAAATTTAAATATAAAATTGGACAAGATCAAGTCGATATTTTGGTGAGAATTATATTACCCAATTCCGTACCCAACTTTTTAAAATAGAAAAAACTCCAACCCACCTCCACCTCGCATAAGTCCAATTTTTCCCATCATACTTAGATAGGACGAATAGATCCACTTATACAGATTTAATTCTCATCGCTAATGTACATTAAACCTATGTATTTTGTAAACAGTAAAGGATAAACGGAGTAAATTCCAGATCCAATCTTCGAGACAACGATAATTAATGTATTCTATGTTGGTCAAATTTGATAATACCCCAAAATATTCAACACTTGTATCTTGTCCTATTAAATCATGTATCAAACGTTGGAATGCGAGAAAATGAAAATGAAAAAAATAGACGCATTTTAAGCGTCATTATTATCTCTCGCATGATCCGCCGCACAATCTGTGTGCTAAACAAAACCATGCCACGTGCTATTATTCATAAGTTCTATTAGCAGACGCTTACTCATGAAGGAGTAGAAATTGACAGACTGTTCAAATCTCAACCAATTAAAAAAATAATAAATCATTAATTAATCTAAAATATTGATTTTAAAACTAATTAATAATAAACAAAATATTTATTAACAAAAGGTATTTTATAATTTCACATCAACTCTAATTTATATATATATATATATATATATATATATATATATATATATATATATCCAACTTTCTTAATCATCGACATATCTTTAAAAAAAAAAATCTGTGATAAACAAAAGATAATATCTTAACAAAATTAATTAAATTTTTTTAATAAACATTCACGTCGATCATGAAACCGATAACAACATTCAGTGTACAAAAAAAGTTTGTTTCACTATATAATTATAATATACTTATATTATTAACTCATAATAAATATACTATAACTATTAAGTATAAGATAATGTAACTTATTCATAAATATAAAATAAGTTAATATTATATATATCAGACAAATTATAGAAAAAACTATTTATCTCTTTATCAATTAAAATTATATTTTTATGTTTCATTTAAATGGATTTTAATAAAAAATAAAAATAAACCATTAAGTATTACTATAATGGAGATAGAGTTCAAACATTTTAAGTTGGTGAGTTCAATACCCCTTAAAATAAATCATATATCGGCCATGTTTGACTTGAAAATTTATAGATATTAATTGCATGCACTTTTCCAGGTCCTCGTACCAAGAGATTATATGTTGTGTTTGAATTTGAAAAAAAAGTCTTAATACTGTTTATTATCATCATTTTAAATGTTTTTATTAAATTAGAGTTTAATTTTAATTATTTTAATAATATAATTTTGAAAATATTTAATTTTAAAATAAGATTAATACAATTAAAATTATAGACAGTAGTGCTCCAAAGTTAAGTATATAGTTGAAATAAAATTTAGCAAAATATATTTTAATCAAATTGTTTTGAATTAAAATTATAAGAATATGATTTGTGTAAATGTTTTACTATATTTAGTCAAATATATTTTTAAAGAGAGAAAAATAGAATACATGACTGTATAATGCTTTTAGAAAATTAAAATTGATCACACTCAAAATTTTCAATTTTGACGGTTTCTACCATGAAACCCATAAACTCTATTTTTGCCCAAAGTAGTTTGATTTGAGTAGTGATAGTTGCAGAACCATTTTAAACAAAACAGCCAATAAGCATCTGAATTTTATTAATATAATAATAATAATAAAATAAGAATAAAGCGGGATAATAATTGAACATCCAATTCAACAATCCAAAATACTAATATAATAATAAATTTTAATATTATATTAATATAACTAATTGAATATTAATGTTTGGATTGTGAATTTTTTTCCTTAAGATAAATAATAATTAAAAACAAAAATAAAAAGTTGTTGATAGTATATAATATATGTACGATTATATATTGATATCTGCAAACAAAAATAACTTCTAAAATAATTATAATATATTAATATAATAATAGTAAAAAAGATAAAATGAAATAAAAATAATTTAAAATAATTATTATAATATTAAAAGTAAGTTATTTGTAAAAGTTGTATGTTTTAGGTTGTCAATAAATATCATTTTTCATATAATATAAACACGTTGTCAACTTATCTTTATCCTTTTGATTTTGTTGACGGAGCCTCTCTTTTCCTCTCTTTGAGGCAGCGCATCCATCCTCTTGGACTAGAAACGTAGTAGGTGAAGCACACTTTCAAAAACAACGGGCATTTTAAATCTTAAAATAAACAAATTCTTATTTGTCAATATTTGTTACTTTTTAAATAAAAAAATATGGAAAATATTAATAGAAATTAAGAAGTAATCCAACCAAGAAAAATTATTATATTTGCTGAAAAGAAACTAAAAGAGTGAAAATAATAATTTGTCTTTGGTTATCAAAGCTAACAAAATAGAGAATAATTATTTTAAAGACACTTGCATTGTAGGCCCACACAAATCAACAAATGCGACCATATGAGTTGCCTACAAAAGGGAGCGATGGATGCCAGTATCCTCAGGATTACCCTCGAACTCGATATTGCACTTCGAACTCGAGATTAGACTTCCTAGCACCAGCAGGGACGAAGATAGCAGAGAAAACACCATGTTGGTGGAAGTTGCAATTGGTTTGTTGGTGTTAGCTTTGTTTCTGCACCTGCGTCCCACACCGACTGCTAAATCAAAGGCCCTTCGCCACCTTCCTAATCCTCCAAGCCCAAAGCCACGCCTTCCCTTTGTTGGACACCTTCACCTTCTAAAAGATCAACTTCTCCACCACTCCCTCATTACTCTCTCCCAACGTTATGGCCCTCTCTACTCTCTCTACTTTGGCTCTATGCCCACCGTTGTTGCCTCCACCCCTGACCTGTTCAAACTCTTCCTTCAAACCCACGAGGCTGCTTCCTTCAACACAAGGTTCCAAACCTCTGCCATTAAGCGCCTCACATACGACAACTCCGTTGCCATGGTTCCCTTTGGACCTTACTGGAAGTTCATCCGGAAGCTCATCATGAACGACCTCCTCAACGCCACCACCGTCAACAAGTTGAGGCCATTGAGGAGCCATGAGATCCGCAAGGTCCTCAGAGTCCTTGCCCAGAGTGCCGAGGCCCAACAACCCCTTAACGTCACCGAGGAGCTTCTCAAGTGGACTAACAGCACCATCTCCATGTTGATGCTAGGTGAGGCTGAAGAGGTTCGAGATTTGGCTCGCGAGGCCGTTAAGATTTTCGGGGAATACAGTCTCACTGACTTCATCTGGCCTTTGAAGAAGCTCAAGTTTGGAAAGTATGAGAAGAGGATAGAAGAAATATTCAACAAGTTCGACCCTGTCATCGAGAAGGTTATCAAGAAGCGCCAAGAGATCGTGAGGAGGAGAAAGAATGGAGAAGTTGTCGAGGGAGAGCAGAGCGGTGTTTTCCTCGATACTTTGCTTGAATTCGCTGAGGACGAGACCATGGAGATCAAAATTACCAAGGAGCAGATCAAGGGTCTTGTTGTCGTAAGTTTCCTACTTCTCTTTTCTTGATCCACTTCATCACATGCATTTCTATTATTAAGATAACCCATTTGCGGTTAAGTAAGTTCTAATCATTAGTATTTAATAAAGGAGGCGTTAATGCTTTAAGAAATAATTGTTATTATTTTATTGAAGCAGTGGTTGCACGTGCATGCACGTAAAATATGCAGCAAGACTAAAAATATACTCGCGAACCAATGTAGCAAGTAGCTAATATACACACTTTTATTGTGACAGGATTTCTTCTCAGCAGGGACAGATTCGACGGCTGTGGCAACAGAATGGGCTTTGGCAGAGCTGATCAACAACCCTAAGGTGTTGCAAAAGGCTCGAGAGGAGGTGTACAGTGTTGTGGGAAAAGATAGACTTGTTGAGGAAGTTGACACTCAAAACCTTCCATACATTAGAGCCATTGTGAAGGAGACATTCCGCATGCACCCACCACTCCCTGTGGTGAAAAGAAAATGTGTGGCAGAGTGTGAGATTGACGGGTACGTGATCCCAGAAGGAGCATTGATACTTTTCAATGTGTGGGCTGTAGGAAGAGACCCTAAATACTGGGACAGACCACTGGAATTTCGTCCTGAGAGATTCCTAGAGACTGGAGCCGAGGGGGAAGTTGGGCCTATTGATTTAAGGGGGCAGCATTTTCAACTTCTGCCATTTGGGTCAGGTAGGAGAATGTGCCCCGGAGTGAATTTGTCTACTTCAGGAATGGCAACACTTCTTGCGTCTGTCATCCAATGCTTTGACCTGCAAGTGGTGGGCCCACAAGGACACATATTGAAAGGCGATGATGCCAAAGTTAGCATGGAAGAGAGGGCTGGCCTCACTGTTCCGAGGAAACATAACCTCGTCTGTGTTCCACTTGCAAAAACAACTCTCGCAGCTAAACTCCTTTCCCCCTAAAATACCACAAACTACTAGAATTGTTTGTATGCAGTTTATATTCATTATTTCAATAAGGTGATGTCGATCAGCAAAGTCAATGTATGCATGAGCTCCAACGTAAACACACATGTGGTCCTATGATGTAACTTTCATTTCTTTCTTGTCGTAAGGAAGTAGTTGCAATGAACGAAGTCTTTTTGTCTTCAGTTTCAAACCGTTCAAAAAAATTACTGTTTCTAACATCCAATTATTATATAAATGATTTTGATTTTATCATAAATTAAATTTTTCTTTATCCCATTATATTTTATTTAATATAACAGTTATTTTAATAAAGACGTATATTATAATAAAAATTAGGATAATAAAAAATAAATATCTTACCCATTATAATCTAAATCTTTATAGAACCTAAAATTATTATAAAGAAGATATTAATAATTCAGAAAATTGATATATAGGTGATAATATTAATTGATGAATATTAATAGATATGATTTATTAATTTATACATATTCATCGAATATGATAATCAACTTATTCAACTAAGATTTTTTTAATGGTTAATGTTACTTCAATACGTCAATAGAATTTTTTTAATAAGAAAACAAATATTTTTTTTACTTGAAAATCTCATATAAATTAATGATAAGTTATTTGTTATGTTTTGATTTCAAATACTACATTCTTATTATTTAAGAAATGACTCGTTCATTCTTGATAATAGTTTTTAACATAAAATATATCTTATTTCATTCCATCCGCATATTGAGAGGTATTACTATATACCTTGATTAACATGTTAATTTAATTAATATATTATCGATTTAGTATTCAACTTACGGAGTCCCACACAAACTTCTAATATTTTCTAAACAAATTAATTTTAATATTTAATTATTAAATGAGAGAATTTAATGTGATCAAAGAATAATTAATTTTATGTAAAATATTACTAGGAGAGTTGCTTATTAAGATACTTAAGTAAATTGTTAGTTATTTGAAACAATTTTTTATTTAAGGAATTTTAGGTGACATGGTGACATGAGATTGGTTTATTTATTTAATTTTTTTATAGTTGCTTCTTAAATTTTTTATTAAAGTATTATTAAAGTAAAATTAACGAGGAGTTGCTTAATAATAATATGGCATAATAAACCCATATTTTATATTTTCATGGTAAAACATAATGTATGAGTTATTATTATTAGAGATGTCCTTATATTATCTACTAACACTAAAAATAAAATAATATATTCAAACGAAGATTTTAAGTGAGAAAATATTTATCAAGATTTGATTGAAATCATTCAATAAGATTAATATATAGAATAATAACAAAGGTGTTGCTGTACAAAATGGTTAAAAATATATATACTCGTAATTTTTGTTTTCTCTTGTGTGTTATAAAATTAACCATCGAGTTGCATATTTGAATTTAACATTTTTTTTAATTATTCTTCATCTCTTCTCTTAGAGTTTGTGAGCACCAAATATTGTAGAGATTGTCTTTGTTATTATTCCACAAGTCAAAGTTATTAATAATAAAGGTTAATCTCGTTATAGACATCCGCAGAATCTTCATATATAATTAACGAATTTCTTAAATGCATTAAAGATTGATAATTGCTACTCAATATTATGCATTGTTTCTTATATTACCTATAATTTAATTATAAAATAACTTTTTATTTTTTCGCTGTGTTATAAATCACTTAATTTTTTCCCTTTCAAATTGGTATTAGATTTTAGGTCTTTATATTTAAATTATATTTGAGTAATTTTTATTTTATTGCATTAATGTGGATTAGTACAAAAGTTGAAAAAAAATTATCATTAAATTCGGTTATATATTTAAATGATTACAACAACAAAAATATTGTCTTTATTTTATTTGATGAAATTAATAGTTTCTTAGTTTTAAGGATTGAATATATATTGAATATATATATATATATATATATATATATATATATATATATATATATATATATACTACAAGAAAAACATCAAATAGTGACCGAAAATTCGGTCACTAAATCTGCAAAATCGGTTACTAATTAAAATAGTGACCGAAATAGTGACGATCGATGACCGAATGGAATCGGTCACTATTTCTTGGTCATGATTTTAGTGACCGATTATATATAACCAAATCGGTCACTGAATCGGTCACTAAAATTTAATCCTTTTTATTTATTTACACTTTTATTATATCTATTATTTATTTTCCATATCTCTTAATTATATTATATTTTGCTTATTTAAGTTTTTATTTATATTTATTTCCCCTATCTCTTAATTTTATTATATTTTTTAGAAGTTTAACTTATTATTAGTTGATTTATTGTCATTGTCGGGATTTGAACTTATTATTAGGTGATTTATTGTCATTGTCGGATTCGAACCGTGCACCTTAGAGTTGGAGGTTGAAACTCCAACCACTGAGCTACTAGGATCTTTTAATAATAACTTACAAATAAATTATATTTATATACAAATAAATGTATATCCGTATAAATATATAAATATAAAATCTATAAATAAAAATATATTTATATATTTTAATATATAAAATCTACAAATAATTGTATATTAGTATAGTATAGTATATTTGTATTCTAATTTTTAATTAAATTAAAATTATGCTAATAATGTATATTAATATATGAGGGGATAATATTGATATATTTGTATATATATATATATATATATATATATATATATATATATTTATATATTTATATATTGATATATTTATATTTTTATATTTTTATATTTTGATATATTTATATATTGATATATTTATATATTTATTTATATCCTTATACATTTATATCTTTATATATTTATATATTTGAAAAAAAAATATTAAATTTTAAAAATAATATTATATTTTTAAAAATAAATATTAGAAAAAGATTTAAAAATATATATAAATTATATTTACATTTACAAAATATTAAAGATATATGTTTATATCTTTACATATTTATATATATTTATATGTTTATATTTTTACATATATTTATATCTTTCCATATTTATATATTTATATATAAAGATATTAGTTTTGTATACAAATAATATTATAATATAGTATATTATACTATTAGTATAGTATACAAATAATATGTTAGTATATTATAGTATACAAATTATTAATTTTGTAATTTATATACAATGAAAATAATATAATGGTATATTGGTATAGTATATTTGTATTCTAATTTTTAAATAAACTAAAATTACGCTAAATGTATAATAATATATGAGAGGATAATAAATTTAATCCAATTACTTTTATAAATATATAAATATAAAATCTATAAAATATTAAAAATGATATTATATTTTTAAAAACAAATATTAGAAAAAGGTTTAAAAACTAGTATTATCTTAAATTTATTAAAAGTATAATTAAATCTCTATTTTCTTAATTTTTTTTTAAACTTCTCAATTCTACATTTTTGTAAGTTCTATCATTATATTATATCATCCTCATCTCCTCCCATGTTCTACTTTATCTTTACAATAGTCAATATTCTTAACTAATTTATAGTTTTAATTATAATTTTTTAGTATATATTTCGAAATTAATCAATTCTAATCTATTATTTGAAAAACTAATCAATTCTAATCAATAATTTAGAAAACTAATCGATTATAATTAATTATTTGAAAAAATTATCAAATATGATCGATCATTTCAAAAATATAATCGATCGGAATCAATTATCGCTCGAGCGAGACTAGACTCGCTCAAGCGAAATACAACATGAGAGTACCAATTTTGTGCGAGGCGTTTCGCTCGAGCAGAAAGTTGTCGCTCAAGCGAGATACAGCTTTAGATAGCGGTTACACGAGAACCGCTCTTAAAAGCTCACTTAGATAGCGGTTAACCGTTGAACCGCTATTATATGGTTTCCATTATGATCGGTCGAATGCAATTATGACCGATCATAACTGTTTTAATCGATTAAAATCTAGTTTCAATCGATTAAAACAATTTCTCGCAAGCGTTTTAATCGATTAAAACTTATTTTTATCGGTTAAAATAACTTGAAAACTTATATTAACTATTTTTTTTATATTATGTTTTTAAATTTTCTATTAGAGAAAACCTTTCGAATTCAAAATGTTAAATACTTTTAAATATTAAAATTAACTTTATCAAAAATTAGGAAAAAAAATTAATCCAAAAGAGTTCAAAAATGTATTATAATATTGTCAATTTTGAGTTTAATTATATGGTTCATTCTCAAAGTAGAAAAATATAATTTAAAATTTTAATACTAAAATTAAAAGATTAAATAATAATAAATTTAATTCTTTAAATTCGGTAGCTAGAAACTAAAATTATAGTTTCTCTCGTTTGAAATAATTAAAATAAATATTTAAAAATAAAAATCAAAACTAGTATTATCTTAAATTTATTAAAAGTGTAATTAAATCTCTATTTTCTTAATTTTATTTGTTTCAAACTTCTCAATTCTACATTTTTGTAAGTTCTATCATTATATTATCATCCTCATCTCCTCCCATGTTCTACTTTATCTTTACAATAGTCAATATTCTTAACTAATTTATAGTTTTAATTATAATTTTTTAGTATATATTTCGAAATTAATCAATTCTAATCTATTATTTGAAAAACTAATCAATTCTAATCAATAATTTAGAAAACTAATCGATTATAATTAATTATTTGAAAAAATTATCAAATATGATCGGTCATTTTGAAAATATAATCGATCAGAATCGTACTTCGCTTGAGCGAGAGAAGTCTCGCTCAAGCGAAATACACCTCAAGCACTTTAGATAGCGGTTATGAGGGAACCGCTATTATATCCTCTTAATTATGATCGGTCATTTCAAGTTATGATCGATAAGGATCGTATTTCGCTCGAGCGAGAGTAGTGTCGCTCAAGCGAAATACACACTCGAATGCGAATTCGTGCACTTGGAGTTTCGCTCGAGCGAGAATATTGTCGCTCAAGCGAAATACGTTTTAGATA